CCACACGATTCTCCTCTTCCAGAGCAGCTAAAGTAGGAGTTGTAGACGTGAAAACTAGAAAGGTGGCTGCCCAAGGGCTGCAGGGAAAGGAGAATTCACATTTCATGAATGTGGAGTTTCACTTTTACAAAACGAAGACATTCTGAAATCTACTGCACACAAATGTGATGTGCTGAACACTGTTGAGTTGTTCATTTCAAAAACTGTTATGGAGCAAACAAGGGGTCTCTGCGTCTGTATCTGCTTCTTGTACCTTCTCTTGGGCTCTTTTCCTTCTGTTTGCTTTGTCCTATAGATACCTATTTAGTTCCTAATGAGAGATAGAAAGGGGTAGACACAGATGCAAGTGAGGTTAGGGGGAAGAGCATAGGGAAAGGAAACTGTAATCAGGATATATTATATGAAAAAAATCCTATTTTCAATAAAAGAAAAAAATTAGGACTGTAATTTAATGTTAGATTCACTATTAGCTGTACAAAGTGTTAGTTCTAAAAACCAAAGATACAGGTCAGCTGTGTGTCTGCCTACTTCTCTCATTATGTTCTAATAAATACATGGGAGTTCCATCCCAACTTACAATTTTAAAGTCATTATGACTAACAAGTATTGTGGGATTAAAAACGTGATAGATGAAGTATTAAACAAGCATCTTAAGATGCTACGTTGAATTTATCATTTTTCTTTAAGGAGGCACAGTTAGCTATGCACTTGTAGGGACACAGTTTTGTGGCAGATGAAATCAAAGTGAGAATGATTCGATACATCTTGGTGTGACAGTCTCCGTTGGGTCCTGGGTGAATTTCATTCTAGTTTGCCTGACATCTAGATTTCAGTGTGCGTGGCTCATTAGTGCTTCGTTGGCACTTCTATAATGGCAATGCCTTGCACTCTCTGGTGGCGGGGGGCTGGGGGGCTGCCCTTTGAAGAATTGCTTTCTGACCTCCTCTTTCAGCCTGCAGCACCTGCTGAATGGAATGCCCTGCGCTTTTTGCCCAGTCCCCCGACAGACACTAGGAGTTTTTGTGTGTGCAGGAGGGCAGTGCTGAAAAGCATTGGCAGGAGGGGCTTTTGCAGCAGCCTGCCTGTTGAACTGCGCGGATCAACAATTTCTCAATTAGAAGAAGATAGACGAGAAGATAAAGTATTCGGTGGCTGCGAAGCTTCAAGCAGCAGCTGAGGAGGATTTGAAGAACATCTGGTTTGAGTCTATTTCTTTTTAGGTAAGCACTCCTCTTTATAACCAGCATACACAAAGCATAAAATTGGCTTACCCCTCCCCGCAACAACGAAGAGGCTAGGATTTATCACTCTTATGATACAGGTATACAGACAGTGGGGCTGTCGCAAGGCATGCCCACTGAAGCTTCTCCAAACCGCTGGGCTAGTTTCAGAGGTAACATTTTACAGCTATATTGTGCCTGTTATTTTTTTAAGACTCAATCTGGTTTGTTGATATATCTATTTCTATATCTATATGTAGATAAAGGGATATAGATATATGCTGATATATCATTTTATATATGTGTATGTATATATATATATACATATATATATAATCAGCTGAGAAAAAGAATAACTCAATTAGTAATGATGATTCTGGATTTTTTTCCATAGGGGCTATTATTAATACTAAATTTCTCTTTAAATTTTGAAATTAGTCCTTTTCCTATCTCACTCATTCTCTTGCTTTACTAATTTAATAATGCCTGCCACTTTAGGCAATGAGGGAAAATTGTTTTTCCATTTCTAGCTTCATTTGTGTGACCAGAGTACCCTGAAACCAGAGAGCTGTATTGTTGCTTTACTATGAAAGACTGAAGCTGACAGATTTCCAGATGCTCCCTGATCAAACCAGTTGTTTTCTGTAAGTGTGTATATAGTATGGGCATATTTGTATGCCTTTTCAGTGGGGAATGAGCGCACACATGCATGCATACGTGTGTTTGAAGGCCAGAAGTTAACCAAAAGTGTCATTCCTTATGATCCCTCCCATGTTTTTGCTGTTGTTGTTGTTGTTGCTGTTTATTTGTTTTGTGACAGGCCCTCTCGCGGGGACCTTGCAGATTAGGCTAGGCCGGTTGGCTTGGCCAGCCACCTGTCTCGATCTCATCAGTGCTGACGTCATGAGCATACATAACCAGGTTGTGTTTCTTCAGCTGAGACTCGAACTCCAGTCCTCCTGGTGCCCCTACAAGCACTTCACCAACTGTATTACGCCTCCCAAAACTTACTGTTTGTTTTTAAGGTGTATGAATGTGCTACAAAACGGTAGCTGAATTCAAATCAGGATCATTCAGTTCATGGAAAAATACTAATACTAAGGTCATTTCACATAATGATGTTGCTTATTCTATGATGTTGTATTTAGATAATTATCCATGAAAAAAAAAGCATTGAAACAAACCTCAATTTATGGAATATACACTAATCATATTTATTCTGTCACATCTAAAGTACTCTCAATGTTCATTCATCTATAATAAATATGCTTTCAAACTAATGTATATAAAAGAAAAATATTCAAATGCGGGACTTCCAATGGACTGATGTACTTCCCACATACTCACGCTATCCTTCAGTATAGTCATGCAAATCAGATAATTTACATATATTTCTGTATTTTTCATTATCTTTAGGCCTTCACATATTTGTAAGTTTCAGTTATGGCTTACTCAAAATTTGATTTTGTAATAAATATAGAGTATTGCTTTTATGAGGTTTTCTTTAATACAAGGAAAGGAAATGCTTTAGAAACTTTCTGCATTCTAGAAGGGAACGGGATTAGTTGCAGACCCCCACAGAGTTAAAACTGGTCCAGAAGCAAAGAAAGGCTTAGCACTTCACAGGGAATTTCAGGAGACAGTTAATCTACCCTGTTATCTTTGGGTATACTATACATTGTCATTAATACAATTACAATCAAAACAGTATTAAAGCAACCTGGAGTTTTAAGAAGTGGCCTTAAAGGTGAGCCCCATCCGTTCTTCAGGATGTTGCACACAGTCAGAACACACAGATCAGAAGACACTGTTGCTATGTATTAGCCAGGAACTTTCTTGCATTCTCATCCCCATAGGACTCTGCTGGCCCTGAGCCATCTGACTATTTATTAATATTGCTGTGGAAGAGGAGAGATCAAAGAATAGGAGAAAAGATTAACAATTAACTTGGTTATTATTATTATTTCTTTTTAAATAAAGATGATTAATAAATTCAGGATCCCTAAATAGAATGAAGAATGACTATTTCAATACCAGTGTGGTTTAGGAATCTATGCCGAGAAGGTGGTCCGGTGACCTCAGACCTCTGGAACACTCGCTGACACTGTCCCTAGGCTCAGTGACTCTGGGGTTGGACTTCTGGTCTCCAGGGCCTGGAGTATGCAGAACCGCCTCTAGGAAAGAACACAAGAATGAATCCTGCTTTTATATTTTAGGCGGGTATAAATAAATGTTTCTTTTGTGCAACCAGCTCTAAAATGATCTTTTCAAGATTTATGCCAAAAGCTAACTAGCTGCACATTTACAATTTTGAAATTTGTTCACAAGTTTAACTCAAATAAAGAAGGCGCACATGTATATGTGTGTGTGTATATATATATATATATTAAACTTAAATAATGAGTATATCATGATGGATAAGTCTAAGATAAATAGACGACACTACAAGAATTCATCTCAAAATCGAGGAGTACAATCACAAAGTACTAAAGCATGAAGGTACGACAGTCTCTCACACAGACCTTTCTTTCTTTCCTTTTCAAAGACACCTCAACAGAATCCTTCCAGCCCCTCCAGAAATACCCACTTGTTTCCTCAGTGTCAGAAAAGCTGAAAGAAATAAAGAAACATTGATTTGAAAGATGAAAACTAAAAGGCAGGTGATTAATTCATCCACGGAGGGCGAGGGGGATTCCAAAACATCTTTTCAGAAAGGTTCTTTTAGGGTTCCTATGAGCAAGAAAGCCAGGTAGTATCACTCTAAGTATTTGACAAGGAACAACTCTCTGGAGAGCCACTTTTTCTAAGTTTAGGAATAAAAGAAAAAGTTGTCCCCGTGCAGACTGCTGCACGCTTTGTTGGGCTAAACCGCAGATTACGGCTTCCAAGCCTGGCCTGTCCTTGTTGGAGGGCACGAGGCGCCATAGATTGTTATTTTCAGGAAACGCACTCCCAGAGGCTTGTGGCCTTCCAGATAGCAGCTGGCGCCGGGCAAAGCATAGCCTCCAGTTGGAGAAGCTACTGCCTACTGCTCTGCTCCGCTCTTGGCTGCGCATCCCTGGCAGCGCTGGCCAATACCACAGCCTAAGCTCCCTGATTCCAGCAAACGCTGTTCCCTTCTGGAAGGACCATAGGGGCTAGCAGCTGGAGATTGCTTTGAGGATTTTAGGCAGTCGGAACTGGTTTGAAGGAAGAAGAGACTAGATTTGGAGAAGAATCAGTCGGCGGCGCCTCTTAAAACTTGGTGCCTAAAATGAGTGAGGTGGTGGCAAAATACAGCGGAGGGCGATTATCTTATTTTGAATATCCAGGACTTCTGGATGCACCAGCGATGTGTACAGCAACTGTCGATTTGGCAGCAGACTGGACTCAGTCAATTGCAATTCCTTCCCCACTTCAAGCTTACCTCCCCCAGATCTGTGCTCAGACTGTCCTCACAGCCTTCAGGTGGGAGGGAGCTGAGCGAGTGGGAATAAAAGAGTCAGCTTGCTTTTGCTCTCCGCTGGTGGCAGAGGCGCAGCTGGTTAGTCCTAAGCAGGTTGGTATTGGAGGGGGGGAAAGCCCGCACTGCTTAGCATCTTTGCTGGTTTGGGGCGGAGGATGCTCAAAGGCTATGGAGGAAGAGGCTGGGAGTAGAGTTGTGTGGATTATTGGTGGAGGAACATGATGTGAAGTGCCAGATGCTTCCCCAGCCACCGCCCGTCGCCTCTTGGGAAAGAGAGGGTGAAGAGGGCGTGGGGGCGGGGACCGCCCTGCAGCGCAAGGAGCGCATGGTGGCCAGGGGGCTGTCTCTTTAAGCGCTCCGGAGGGGTTGGGGCCAGAGGGCGGCAAGCGCGTTGCCATGGCACCAGGACTGCGGGGGCTGCAGGACCGCTGGGCCCGCTGGTCTCCAGTTGTCTCCGGCAATGCAGAGGCTGTGCAGCTCTTGGGCTACAGCTCCTGGGGTTGGCTTAGCCGGCCACTACTAGCACGCGCTCGCTTGTTGCCTGTGTCGCTTGCTGGGGTCGAACTGCTGCCGCGCCCTGCTCTGCAAGACGCACATAGCGGTCCTCGAGAGCGAGCCCGGTACTTGCAACTTCTGCCTGGCGAGCCCAACTTCTGCGCGGGATTCGGACTTGCAGATCCCAAGCGGCGCACCGCGCGCAGTTGGGGCGGTGTCCCTACCGGCTCAGCCTCAACGAGATGACCTCCCCACTGTGGTTCTGGTGCTTCTGCGTCTGGGCCGCCGATCACTGGCCGCCAGGAAGCGCCCTACAGCTCCAGCCCGGCATGTAAGTGGCGCCCGGCAGCTCCGGAAAGCGTGCGGACAGCTTCGTAGTTCCATGTGCCCCCGCCCTACCCGCGCGACACCATGGCAGAGGAAGAGACCAGGTCTCTCTGGGAAGCGATGGAGGGATGCGGTACTGTCAGGCACTGGGCATGAGAACTTGAGGATGTCACTGACCGGGTACGGGGCGGGAACCTAACACACACTAGACCTTAGGGAGCGCCCCCTCCCCGCCCAGCAGAACTACTGCCACTGAAAGTCCAGTGCTTTCAACCTGATATTTTCCAAGCAAGCACCTGTCAGCCCCCACCCCCGCCAGAGTTTGAGTGTATGTATTTCATATTGGGGAGTAACTGCCCACTTTCCACAGGCTTTTACGTTAAATCCCATCGAAAGGGACCTTGACTTTTTTTTTTTAATTCAATGCGTTTCTGCACATCCCCCCCCCCCTTTATGGGAGGTATGATGAAGTCCAAAAATGGACTCTTTGAAAGATCTGATGAGAGAGGCGAGAGCCAGCAATGCATGTGTCAGCGGCAGGGAGAGGCACTTGGGTGGTTAATTGAACAGTTAGGAGGAAGGGGCACAGGAGGGATTCCTCCTGCCTTAGTGGGTAAGACTGGGAAATGGGGAAATGTCTTGTTCTTGGTCACCATGTGGCGTGCTGGGAGGAGTTCGGAGAAGTCTAATAGCCTGGTCTACTTAACTGGCTCAAGAAGTTTCTGCCAGGTCTTCTTTACATCAGTCTGCTGGAGAAAGCCGGGTCCCACTCAGCTTTCCCGTTCTGCTCTCCGGCAGACGGCAAAGTCCTTTGAACGTTTCTGCATTCCCTCTTCTTTGCTTTTCTGAGATATAAATATTATATAATAGAAAAAAATGGTTTAGAGAAATAACCCAAAGGCGCGCAAACCTTTTCCTAGCTTCACTTCTTCCGGTAAGAAAAACACCGTTTGGGGTTCACGTTACCTTTCAGTATTTCATCCTCTGTGAAACCCAGTCTGCTGTCGGGTTACTGCTCAGGTCATGAACTAGGAAAAGAGCCAGGGTGTCACTCTCTTTCACAACTTCGACTACGTAGTGCCTAAATGTGTATTTTGAAATTTGAGGAATTACTGCGAGTTTTGACATAGATTTGCATTATTTACTTTGAAGGGGTACATTTAGACTCTTCTTGTTATCCCTGGAAACATCACCCAGTGCATGTGAAAGCCTTTGTCTTACAATACTTTAGAGCAAACTTGCTTTCGTGGTGTCACTGTTCAAGTGAGCCCTGGGTTGCCTTGTCTCATTCACCCATAAACACTGGACTGACAGACCCCAGTGGGAAGACACACTCCACTTCTCCATGTCAGTATTCCTCTCCTTTCAGTGTTGACTCTTTGGTCTAGAATGATGACCCTGCAATTGAAAAAAAAAAAGAATTGTAACTCATTTACATATCAGATAAGATGAAGTCAGATATTAAAACTGATACAAATTCTTGGAAGATTTAATAGGAACATGTTTTTTCAAGGAATTTCTAAAGTTGCTCTGATTTTTAGTACTTTATGGTAGGGGAAATCCAGTCATGTTTGTTTGTAGTCCTTTCTGGTGCTGGAGTTCATTCATCAGGAGCTGCAGCAGGATCTACTGCCAGATTTCTTTGCAATTCTTGGCGTGTAGAACACAGCCACATACAGCACTTGGTGGTCACACACCTGCCTATCTGTTAAATGTGAGGGAATTCTCCCGGAGATTGTTAGAGACCTCTGCAGTCAATCACTAGTGGAGACAGCCTTCTGATGATGTAAAGATTGTAATGAAAGTTTGCAATCCTATCGACCCACACTTCCCAGTCATCAGTGCAGCAAAGAGTTGGGTGCCACTTGTTTTGGAGGGCAAAGTGAAAACAGGGGCAACTAACCGAAAGTCAGAATGACATACTTGTTACATTCATGACTGCATGTCTTCGAAGGGAAACTCATTTAGGAAATTTATTAATGAGGCAAAAGCTGTGTGGCATGGATTTTCCGACTCTCGTGATGATCGACCCGTCTGATGATTTTGTTCGATCACGGTTTGGAAACTTCGGATGACTGATGTGGGCTGATGGAGAGAGTCAGCCCTTCACTGCGGTGTCATTGTGTGAGTAGCAATCACAAACCACGGCTAGTGGGTTAACTCCCTTGCGTTTTTACTTAGACACCAGGTGGCTTCTAGCTCCTTTGCTTTTACCCGTCCCATGGTAAGTGAGATGGGAAGTGCTAAAAATGGGAAGAGGCTTGGCTGAATTGAGATTTGCACGACCAGGTTTGAACCCAGATACTTTCACTGCAGAACTTGGGTTCTTCCTGTCCTTTCTTCTCCCTTTTCTTTCTGTTTTTGGCAAGGTGCCACAGGCAGCCCTCACTAAACTTGATCTCACCCACTGTGTAGCTGAAAGTGTCCTTGAACTTCTGATCCTGCTACCTCCACCCTTCCCCCAGTACAGATTCCCAGCAGGCCTCTGCCACCACACCATTCCTAGTTCCAGAGTTGGGGTTGAACTATTCTAGAACATTCACGTCTATGCTGTGTTTTAAGTTTGTTTCAATTTCCCCATGTCTTCTCAGTGGGATTGATGCTGATATTGTCAACCTAGGGAATGTCAAGATGCTTTAGGCACCTCTTCTGTGTTGCAACTGCTCTGGGTTCTGTGGGCATCAGTGCTCCTTTTGCGTGCTAATTGTCCAACAATACTCGTGGAAATTCTGTATTTTCTCTGTCTACTTAAGACTCTGCATTAGAAATTCCTGGCTGCTGCTAGGTGATGGCCTTAAGACTTTTTGTTTGTTTGGTGGACTATACCATGCTATAGACTTGGCTGTCTTGAACTCTCAGCAATCCTCCTGCCTCAGCTTCATGAATGCTAGAATTACAGATGTGAGCCGTATGGTGATGATATTTTGATAAGGGGATGTTGATGAGTTTACTTATGTACATGTTTTACACAGGATTAAATAAGAGGAGTAAATAAACTCTATCCAGATCTTTGAGGCATCAGAGGATAAATGACCAGTTGTTATATTAAAACTTTGTGATGTGCTTTTGGGAACACTTGCATAATAATGAGATGAAAACAGTGAACATGGAGATATAATGAGTCTTTGTCTGCCCTGCCAGCCAGTTTCCAAATAAAGACATGGAGACTTTGTATGAATTATGAACAGTTGGTCTTTGCTTAAGCTTGTCCCACTAGCTATTATAACTTAAATTAACCTGCTTGAATTAATCTACATTTACCATTTGTCTTTTTCGCTTTCTTTTATTCTGTATGCCCGACTCCCCACATCTCCATAGCATATGTCTCCCAAGAAGCACACCCTTCTACTTTAAAACAGAAAAAGCTTCACCCTACTACTTACAGTGTATCTGTACTAATACAGTGTACTAATACAGTGTATCTATCTGTCTCTTCCAGACGCCCTCTGATGCTCTTTGATTACTTTTGTGTCTAATTCAGTCTCCTGAACTAATGTTAGGTTTATTTACTTAATTGAAATTCAAACTTGGGGTTCACAGTGGGATTGAATATCCCCCAACATGGAGGTATTGTAGAGATCAGGACTAAATTAGGATAAAGCTAGCTGCCTACGATCTTAGAACTTGGGATTTTTATGTTTGTTTAACACCGAAGAGGGGAGACTTTAAGAGGGTAAGGTCAATGTGCAACCAACAGTCTCCTAAACTATATGGGACATTTCAAATCCGTGCTCTAATGTGGGCATCTTTCATAGGCTGTTCTGACAGAGAATTCAAAGCACGGTAGATAGGCTCTGCATTCACATGTGTTGAAGCCTTTGCTGGGCAGTGGGAAAATGCCTATATAAATAGTAAAGGAAGAGTTTTGTTGGCTCCTAGTGTCTGAGTTTTCCGTCCATGATTTGATTGTTTTGCTGTTTGTGGGCTGAATGAGACAGAACACCACGGCTAACAGTGTGGTAGTGCAAGTGAGGACAGGAAGTGGGGAGGGGGTGAGCTAGGGTGGGGACTAGCTTTATCTTTCCAGGGTGTGCCCTATGACTTACTTACTTCAACTAGATCATCACCTCCCATTTATGCCATTAAGTTGGGATTTTAGCAGGGATTTAGCTATTGACTAAGTCATTGTCCTCAGATGCCAATCACTCCTCTAAATGTTCACTGCTGAGCATTGCAATTCAGATAAACCTTCCAAGAGGACCCTTCAGGTACAGACCATAATACAATCTCTCCTTACTACAGACCTGTGCAAAAATGTGGGCCAGACTTCTACAGCTGATGTGGAAACCTAGGGCCAAAATTGGAAAAGTAGGGAAGTCAAGGAATTTAGAACCAGGCTGAAGTTTCATGGCTGGGGAGTAGCGGGGTCACCTTTGAATCTTGTCTCTGGAACCCTGCTTCTGTTTACCATGCTCCCCGGTGGTTCCTTCACCATTTTCACCTCAATTCACTGTGTTTAAACTATACCCGTTCTGATTTTTCTACTGGATGTAAACTACATCTAGCAACAGTTGCTCTCTCTGTCAGCCCAGCTGGCCCCAGACATTAGCAATCCAAGCTTTGTTGATAACATTGGCATTATGTACATTTGCGCGTGGTTCCTGTCCTCTGTTCCAGTTCCCCTTGTTGAACTATTTCTTCTGTTGTCCTACACTCCTATCCATAGCACTCTTGTTTTGATGCTTCAGAGGCTTCCTGGTGTGTTTTCTCTACATCCTCTTTTCATTATTTGTGGCTTTTTTTCACCTGTGTCATTTCTTTTCCATTCACAAATATTTTCTACTTTCTGTTTGTAGTCTGCCTTGTCTGTTGACATGTCTTGACTCTGCTTCTTTGCCTTATCATTAATGGCTTAAAGACAGCTTATTAACACTTCACTATCATTCTTCCTTGTCCTTCTCCTCTTTCTCCATCTTTTCTTCTCTCCCTCTTTCCCGATTTCTCCTTTCTTCCCCCTCACTCTCTTTACTGTCTTCATTCTTTCTTTGTGTGTCTACATGTATG